TTCTCGTGATTGAGGCTTGGCTAACAGGCAGTGATGTGGATCTGCATATAATCTGAAGGCAACTGAATTGGTGTATCATCTGCTTCAAGTGGGAGGCTGCCCTTTCATTCAGTCTTTCTCTCTACTGTTGGAGTTGCCCTAATAAAAGTTACGAGTTTTATACTTTAGAACAGTGGTTACTGGGGCAAATAGACAAAAGGGTATACCGGGAGGAGGAGGCTTGTTGCAGAAGGATTCTTCACAAAGCTAAGGCTGATTACGAGCTGTGACTTGCCAAGAATATCAAGAGCAACAAAAAGGGCTTCTTTCAGCATGTAAATAGGAAGAGGAAGGGGAGACAAGTGGTAGGACCACCAAATATGGAAGGAGATCCAGTGACTGATACGAGTGAACAGGCACAGATGCTAAATGACTATTTTGCCTCTGTGTTTTCCCCAAAGCATGATGGGGGAGATCCACATAGGAGATTAGATGAGGCTGGGGACTTAGGGGGGCAGATTAGAGTCACCCACCCTCCTCAGGGCATTGGACATAACAAAGGCACCAGGCCCTGACAGGTTACACCCGAGAGTACTTAGAGAGTTGACAAGGGTTCTCTCACGCCCGCTGGCCTCCATTTTTGAGGCCTCATGGAGAACGGGTGAAGTTCCAGCGGACTGGAGGGTGGTGTCAGTGGTCTCAATTTTCAAAAAGGGTAGTAGAAGGGACATGGGGAATTACAGACCAGTTAGCCTTATGTCCACTGTAGGAAAAACAATGGAAAGTCTCATAATAGAGAGAGATCTAGTGATGCTAGATAGGGAAGGGAGGCTGGCAGCCACGCGACACGGCTCCTGCAAAAACAGGTCCTGCCAGACAAACCTTGTGGAATTCTATGACAAGGTTTCGAGATGGCTAGATGGAGGGGATGCACTGGATGTGGTTTACCTGGATTTCAGCAAGGCCTTTGATGAAGTGCCCCATGGTATCCTGGTTGAGAAACTGAGGAGTTTTGGGATACACCAAAGCACTGTCCGATGGATTAGGGCATGGTTGACTGACCGAAAGCAAAGGGTAATCATTTGTGGGGAATCATCAGGATGGTGGCCAGTGACAAGTGGGGTCCCTCAGGGCTCTGTCCTGGGGCTGATCCTGTTTAATCTTTTCATCAATGACATGGAAGAAGGGGTGAACAGTCTGCTGATCTAATTTGCAGACAATACTAAAACTGTGGCAGTGCCCACAACTGAGGAGCAGGTACTCCAGATCCAAAAGGATCTGGACAGACTATGGAAGTGGGCAAGAGACAACAGGATGGTGTTCAATGTGGGTAAGTGCAAGACCTTGGGCATAGGAAAAGGTGTCATAAGTACAGGATAGGGGACAAGTGGCTGGAGAGCAGCACTTGTGAAAGGGACCTCGGGGTGCTGGTTGACTGCAGGCTAAACATGAGTTATTCATGGCCTTATTCATGGTCAGTTTCAAAATTTTCTCCGAGATAGATGCAGAATACGGTGAAGTACCATGCAGGAGTCAGCTGGCTTAGCAGAGGCAAAGTCCTCAAGCATTTTTCAGCCTTTGTCATGAAGTTGGTGCCTTTCTCAAGGAGAAAGGAAAAGGTCAAGAAGTACTTTCTGACCCTTGATGGATTGTTTATTTGATTTCCTTAACTGATATCACAGAGCAACTGAACACATTGAATCTAAGGCTGCAGGGAAAAGGAAAGCTTGAGTGTGACATGCATTCTGAACTGGAAGTTTTTGAAGCAAAACGAAACATTTCTGTGAAATGAGTTAGGGAAAGTAACTTATCAAACTTCTAATGTGCAATGAACTAAAATTCGAGAAGGACTGGAGTTTACAATTCAATGTTGAAAGACACATCAAAGCACTGAATTTATTGCAGGTGGATTCCAGAACAGATTTCCTCTGTCATAAGCATGGAAGGGAAATGAGAATGTTTCAGAATCCAGAATTCTGAATTAGCAACAGAAGATGCAAAGTAACTTTTTTCCAGCTGGAACTAGTTGATTTGCAAACCAGTGCTAATCACATAGACATTTATAAAGAAAATAAGTCTGTTAGATTTCTTCTGTGCTTTACCTGATATATTTATCAACCTAAATAAATTTGCCACAGGCATGTTCACAGTTTTTGGCACCACATACATCTGTGAACAAAATTTTTCCAAGACAAACACGGTGAAATCCAAGTATAGGTCAAGACTTACAAATGAACATTAACATGGCATTTTAAGGGTGTTTGTCACAAACCTTGACTTGGATGTTAATGCCTTGGCTAACAGAAAACAGCCATAAAAATCACAGACTAGGCAAGCATGTACAGCTAGATAAAAGGATTCCACAGTAAAATACTGTTCAGAATGGATTGCATTCAAGTTAACATTTCTTCATTGATCTCTGAATGCTTATTTTTGATCTAAATTGGTAGGTTAATAATTTTGTTACTTTTTGATTTAGGATGTGGGCCTCTTTAGGCATTGGGTACTCCAATGTGGCCCCCATGTCTCAGAAGGTTGGGGACCACTGCCTTACATATAGTACTCTCCAGAGTACATTAAGTGGCATTACCTAGGCATGGTTAGTGGAGTAATAGGAGAGCTAGAGCTTAGTGGCAGAGTATCTGTTTTGCATGCAGATCAGGGTAGGATTGGGAAAACGTGTGCCTGAAACCCTGAAAAGCAACTGCCCAGTAAGTGTTCACAGTATTGAGCAAGATGCCCCCAAGGTGATCTGATTCATTCAGAGACAAATTCTTATGTCTAGGGGGAGGTCTTATAATATATGGAGGAACATATAACTGGAAGTGGCAAGCTACCACATTCCTTTGATTTCAGCCCCTGGAAAGGAAATCCATCTGCAGAGACAGTGTCTGTTGCTGAATTCAGAAGGCTGGATGTCTGCTTGGAGGATAGAACAGAAAACTTGGACAGGGGAGTTTGGCTGGCTGGCACCCCAAGTAACACATGCTGCTGTGTTTTGTTGCAGGTCTCATTGGTGAGATGCTAATAAATGCATTAGTCCAACTTGTACCTCAGTATACTGGCTGTCAGTAACCAGTTAGTAATATCATTACTTTACAATGAGCCTTGGGCCTTTCCTGAAAACAAGGAAGAGTATTGGGAAATATTTGCCTCAGTTACAAATAATGGAATATGAAATCTGTCACACTGATCCGCAATTAAGACTCGGAAATCAGTTTCTTGTCAGGGCAAACAGGTTTATTTACAATTGAATGCATGCATCCATGGGTGCCCAAAAGAGGAACACCCAATGCTACTTCCATTGGGGTTATATAGAATGCACAAAAGGGGAGTGACTACAACACACAGGAAGGTGATTGGATACTTTGATATGGGTAGGAAAGTGATTGGACACATGGCACAGCACCAGAAAGAAAAGTTACATTTCACTCTGATTAGAGACCTTTGACAGGCCTTCTAAATTAAAGTTACCTTGAACAGGCTGGCCAAGTTAAGCAAACATAAAGGTCACATGTGTGAACTTACAGGGTTAGGGAGGCACCCTGGCAAGCCTATAAAACACAAAGATAGCAATTGACAGTTACCCACTAATGGAGTGGGGTCATTTGGTCTTCACCACCAGACACTGAGGCACCCTTTGTGATCTGTTTAGGGCAAGGCAGTGAGGCCGGATGATAAGTCTTGTTTTTCTGTGTACAAATCTAATGGGAGCCCTTTTTATTTCTCCCAGTGTTCATGCTAATGAAAAAAGATGGAGACTGAGAATTGTAGAGACTGAAAGCTTCTATCAAGGTATAGTTCCTTGCACCTCAGAAAGTTTTCTTTTTCCCTCCTAGTGAGAAGCTTCTTGCCCAAACCTATACCTTTCGCTTAGGCAGTGCTTTTTTTGTAAAAAAAAAAAAAGTGCCAGAACTCACATCTTGGTCACACTTTTAAAGCCAGTCACTCTACACACACACAAACATAATGGTCGCCGCCGGGCAGTAAGCACTCACTATCGGCACGGACACAAAAGCAGCCCGCAGGCACTAATGTTAACGATGTTTGCTGCTGAACTGCTACACCGACAGGCGATTCAAAATCACTTCGTAAAATCCATCGGGAAAAAAGGTGCCGGAAAAAGGTGCCGTTCCGGTGCGTTCTATACAAAAAAAGCCCTGCGCTTAGGACAGCCTTTCTCAAGCTGCTGCCATGATCTTAAGCAGTGGCCTTGTTAGCTGGGAATGATGGAGATGTAGTTGTAGTCCAACACACCTCTAGGGTACCTAGTTGGGGAATATTGAGTTGGGGGCCAAATATCTATCTATCCATCTATTATTGTTATTTTTAAAGTCTCATCCCCGTGCTCTCCCCTTCAGCGCTGTGGGACTGGGGTGGGGCGAGGGTATCGAATTTTACCGCCATTTCTTCAAGCCCGTCAAGGGCGGGCGGACCCTCCTTATCCTCTGGCGCACTTCGTGGCGCTCCCTCGCTTGAAGTCTCTTGTCTGCTGCGTGAGATAAGATGAGGGGTGGAACCAAGCACCGTGCAGACAAAGGCCCTCATGCGCCTGAATATTTGCTTGCAAAAATCACACGCGCGCGCACGCACACTCACATTTGGGTTCAAACGTGAAGGAGTAAGACTTAAGACAGTGAATGAGACGCCGTGGCGGCTGCATTCCCTCGTCGCCCCGTGCCCCTCGGCCCACCCGCCGGCACGGCAAGAGGCGCCTTCGGTCGCTGCGGCCCTCCGGGAGCGACGGCTGCGACCCGGGGCAGCGCGGGAAAGAGTCCGGGGCAGGAGAAAGGGGCGCGGGGGGAAGGAGCCCAGCCCGCGCGTCTCTCCTTGCAGCCCCGTCCTCCCCCCGAGAGACGCGGCGGCCCCGCAGCGCGCGGGAGGGAGCGGAGCGGAGCGGAGCGGAGCGGGGCGCTCCCACGTACGGGGCTCGCCTTCCCCGCCCACGCTCCCTTCCCTCTCGCTGACGCGGCGCGGCGGCCAAGAAGTCGCTGTCGCCCCGCACGGCAAGCACTGGCAGCAGCGCCACCCCTTCCCAGCCTCCTCCTCCCGCCCGGCTCCGAGGGTGTCCGCGCCGCTCCCGGCTGGCTCTCTTGCCCTGCTGGAGCAAGCGAAAGTTGCAGGTCCCGCGCTGCTGGAAGGCGTGGAGGAGCTGCCGCTGCACCGCCGCCCCGCTGGGAACGCACATGGCTTCTGCCGCCGCTGCCCCGCTGAAGAGAGCCGCCCGGGAGGCTTTGGCGGCGCTGCTGGGGACTCGGACGGGTCTCCGAGGCGTTCATCGGGTCAGGTACGGCACCCCGGCGGCGGCGGCGGCGCCGGGCGAATTAGGCGCAGGGCAAGGAAATCTGAGGACAGCCAGCGACGGAGGCGGGGCAGGAAGCCAAGTGAAGTTCAAGAAAGGGTGCGAGGTCACAGCAGCAGGGGCCAGGTGACCTGGGGCCCTACACTTGGCTAGTAGGGGAGTGAGCCCTGCGGTGGGCGGGCCGGTGAGGATGCGATTTCAGGGAGGATTTACCGAAGAATTTGGAATGAAAAGGTTTGGGGGATGGAAGGAATAAGGCGAAAGCTCGGATTGCATTCAAGAAGGATATATCAAATGATGGATATATTTGGACCAAGATTTGGGAATGTATGGCAGCTGTCAAGGGGCCATTATTTAAGGGGTGGGTTAGTGCAGAGCAGTCCAGCTGAATTATCTCAAAGTTAGGAACATTCCTTAATCTTTGCCCCTGTCCTCATTCTAATCATCTGAAGAACACCCTCACAGTTAGTTGTAAAAGTGATCCAATACATTTGAGCATCTTGGGCTTTAATCTGCACTTCAGTCCTTTAGATAACTGTCTGAATTTTCTCTCGCCCCTCCATTTTGTTTATATTTCACAGTCAGTGGCAATAAGGAGTTTCTAGAACCAGAACTTCCCAGAAAATATAAAACTTACTACTGAAAGGCAGGGGGTTCTCAATTTGGGACAATGAGCAGAGAACAAGAATTCTTTCAGATGGACTGCTGGGGAATGCAAGCAAAAGACTCTGAAGGCATAATCTACGTCTGTTTAGATATGGCTGGCAGGGCAATGCTTAGAGTTGTAGGACATATTTCTGCCTAAACGAGCATAGCCTGTTCCTTGAGCAACTTCTCAACAATCTTCACATGACTGCTTTCTGCTCCATTGAAAAGAAAACATTCTGTGGAGGTGTAAATTTTCATTTCAGTGACTGCTTCATTATCTATGATCCCAGCAGTGGCTGTTGCTTCGAAGATCCTTTGTTCGTTAGCAGGCAGCCCAGTTCTGCAAATACAAGTCAGTCTGAACGCGGCTGAAACAAACTGGGCACCACCTGTATTAGCTCAAACACAGGGACAGCTTGAGTTATTCCTTCACCGGACTGGTGCAAGCATTTGACAGCAGGAAGCAGTTGCATCCTGGTGGTTCTTTTGTGCTGTGCATAATCTCATTGTTAAGAACAGATGGAACTTTGATGGTATGAAATGTGAGCTGGCTGTCTTTATTTGGCTTGCAATTCAGGATAGTAGGGCATTGGTCAGGAAGTGCCAGACAATCATTGCAGGCCCAAGCCATATTAGTACAGTACTATTTCAGTTTGTGCATAAAGGAGGGTAGAAATTGGATTATCTGGGTCACATAGGCCCTTTTATGAATTCAGGGCATAATACTTCTCTCTTCCCAGGGCATAATACTTCTCTGGCTTTACTCCTTTCTGATTTCCATAGGAACAGTATTGTACTGAGCTGAAAAAACTTAGATTGAATCAACAGATGCAGAGGGAATATTGAGACCAACCAAGTTAAATTGATGGTTATGCCTTAATTGTTAAAATAATGCCATTCTTTCATCTGAATTTAATTACTTCCTTTTGAAAACCAATGGAAGTTGCTAATTATGATGCTTGACCAACTTTTCTTGCAAGCACTAAACTAAATTTTCCAGGCAGGCTCTTTTATTTGTAAGCTCAATTGCCATTTTCACATGCCTTAAAAATTGTGTTTGTACCTTTTGTATCCTGCATCTGCAGCAAGGGCCCTCCCCTTGCAGTGCTGTTGGTATTCAAGATTTTTTTGGCAAAATACTTTTCACGGAATGCATGTTGTTTTTGACCAGAAATTGTATTAGCAAATAAGCTCACTGTTTTTGATTGTTGAACCGTATAGCAGATACAACTGAAAGGTACCAGGAAGCCTGCGGTTTGGTTGATTTCCTTCTTCCTTTATATTTTTGTTACTTCCTTTAAGCCTTTGGGGTGAGATAATAATGCAAATCTGGGTTACAGGATCAGAGCAAACTCATTCAGTAGCCCAACATTGTGCTTTAAAGACTTTGCTAAACTGTTCCCCCACTCCTGCACAGTACACGGAATAATCAGGACTGCTCGTAAAATATGCCATGCTTACTAATAGCACTTCTTATTACCTTGCCTTCCTTATCCCAGTTTGTTATTCTACTGCAGATTCCACTGCCCCCAAAGTATGTCACTCTTGTCATGGGAATTGCTAGCATAAACCTTGATTCAAGTAAGTGTAAGGGTTAATTAAGCTATGTACTTAGGAAGCAAAAGCTAGGCCACAGAAAAGGGAAAAGATATAATTCACTTTGATTGTGCAATATAGTCAGTACAAGTAAACTTTTGCCCAGAAGGATGCTTGCTGACCACTATGATTTTAACCGCTAGCACAGAATAATGTCCAAACAATTAGGGTTCAATGGCAACCTAATGAACACTTTCAACAAAGGGGATGGCTAGTATTCAGATCTTCAGGCCAAAGCAAGACACAGGCCTTCTCCTGCTGGTTAGGAACTGAACAGACAGACTGATCTTGAAAACTGATCCAGAAACACCCCCCCACCCCTCCACTTTTGACCTTAAATGCCGCCTTGTCCTTAAATCAACATGAGTGAAGCCGACTGTGTTGATTCTTCACCCTTGCCTCTCCTGCCTTCACTTCTTCCTCCTTTCCTTGCATAACTATGTCACTCTGTTTCCTAAAAAGATTGAGAACTCATTCTCATTCTAACTTTTTTGGACAAATGTTATACTTGTCACATTGTACATCAGATAGATACCATATGCATACATGTCTTTTTCAGTCTCTGGATACTTACTACTTAGATGCTCTCAAGTTACTACTTAGAAGGCCATCTCTTTCTTCTTAACTGATATTTTACACTAAGAAAGAAGATGGAAAAAGCAGTAAGGAAACTCAAGTGGGAGCGCTTACAAATAGAAGAGGTTGTGATTTAGATCCCAGAAAGGCCCCCAATTTGCTGGAGCCACTTTAGGAGTGTGCAGGGAGTTGCATGCAAGACAGAGGTGGAGACAAAATGGGATCCAGTCCCTTGCCTGGAAGCACCACCTGATGAAAAACGGAAGAAGCCTCCATTTAAAATGGGGCAAAAGTCCTTGCATTGACTTCAGTTACTGTTCACTGGGAAAATACTTGTTTACTGGAGCTCCCAAATCAGCTGGTGTCAGTGTTCCCTCCGACTCCCCCTCCCTCTTACAGGTATCATACATCCCCTTTTCTTACAGTTCCTTTTGAGTTTTCTAAGCACACCACACTTTTTAATGCTGTCAGCATATCATAGGGAAGCGTTTCTTAGCTACAAGTCCCAGACTCTCAGGACATCACAGCAATATCTACAGCAAGCATAAACACAATATATTTCACACAGATTTGCAGGAGCAGTCAGTGGTTTCACTTCTGCCAAGCCATTAGTCTAAGTAGCTAAATTAGACCTATGCTTGTACTCTTAACCAACATTTACAGGAACACAGCCCCATAACACTTTAAAATCATTGCAGACCTCAAGAATGCTAAGGGGACTTGTCAACTGGTAAAACGAGAAGAGGACAAGATTTCAAAGCTAACGTTTCTCAGATCTAAAATGTTGCTATTTCGGAAAGGAAAGGAAAGGAAAGGAAAGGACTTTCTTCAGTAAGAAGAAAGATGGATGCTGCACTGGGAAAACATGGGAAAATTGCAAATGGATGACAATGGCACGTGGACTTCCCAAAGGGATGCTTCAACAAACCATGGTGATTCTGCAATAAATCCTCATCTGAAAGCAGCTCTGATACAAAGACTGGCCATTTGTTCCCTTCAGGGAAGGAAATTTTGGTAAACAGTTTTTCTTGCCTATTAAAATCCCCTCTCACAGACTACTAAAATGGCAGGAGGTTTGTTTTGTTTTGCATCTTGTTATCCTGTAGGAGAAATCTGGAACAGCAGGTGTAAACACTGTCATTTCAATTTTGTCAGAAAGAACATTTTTTCCCCTCTATGTTTCTGTCATCTTGATCTGCAACTGCAAGAGTTTGGTCACCGTGCCAAGTCCAAGTATTGCCAGTTACTAGTTGTTCCTCATGTCCAGGTCTCCATGGAAACTTCCAAAGAAGTATCCTGACCTTCTCATATTTGGCTTTCTAGGGGCTTGCACAAAAAATGACCCATGAGAATTTGTGATTGTTGAGCTGGGCAGCCCAAAGGGAGAACTTCCTTACTTTTTGCTAGGCAGAGTGAAAGTTCTTATAATTAATAGCTACAGTATTTACCCAGCCTTCCCTTTTCATCTGTAACATTGTAAACTAATCTCATGCCAACAAAAGAATCTAGGATTCCTGGCAGTTCATAATCTTACTGTTGCTAGGAAGAGAATGTTAGGTACTGGAGGAAAGAAGTTACAAAGGCAATAGAAACAAACATCCATTAATCTTTAGAACTGCATTTATTTATGCAGGATGATTCTGAAAGTTCATGGAAGATCCTGATACGTGTAGGATAAATAGCATTAAGTGAGGCACTGAGAATACATCAACTGAATGTTCAAATACTGTCAAGTCAAGAGTCAAAGCATAATCTTTTGGAACACAAACACACAGTAAAAATCAAGCTGACTACAAAAATGCCAGAGTACAGTTCCTGTTCTCATGGAAATTCAAGAGTACAGTACCTGATCGAATGGAGGAGAACCTTTTTCTCTGCAGCAAATGCAACAGACACTTAAAGCATAGAGTCATGCACATCGCACATGGCTTCTCTTCAGGGTGGTCCAGAAACTGCAGCTGGTACAATACAACACAGGGTGCCTTTTGACAGATACAGAAGCAACACAGCCAGTCAACTGGATCCATTACTTAGGTGATTTCAGGATCATTTAAAGGTGCTGATTTGTTGTTCACCTTGCCCTGAATCCATTAGCCTCTTAGGGGAAACGATTCAGGGCCTCTATTCCAGATTTGGTCCTTTCGGATGTTAGAACATCTGCATCA